CCCCCCCCCCTCCTGTCTTCTTCCTCCCAGGTGAAATCATGCAATGTCGCTATGCGAAGAGTCATTAACTCTTTATCTTGTGTGATACCTCGTTTCATCTCATTCCTGAATTATCATAACACATTGAGGATCTGAAATATTCTCAGTGATTAGCCTCACCAGCATGTTCATCATTATGATAGGCATTCCAAGAACAAGCACGATAAACAAAATATTGGTGAGGGTCGAGAAGGCCAGATTATCCCACGGAAGAAAGTTTTCATGGTAATTCATCTCTCCCAAAGTCATCACAAACATCGTCATCATTGAAGTACCAAACTTATCAAATGGAGGCTGTGGAATAGTTTAAACAAAACTTGTGTCATATATGAATAAAGGGGGCAAGTTTCCAAAGAAACTGTAGTGATGCGTCGATGAGGGAGTTTAACAAGATAAATTGGTTTTATCGACAGAGTTGATAATAAAAAATTGGCCGCCGTAAACAGTTCCTAAAGCTGACTTTTCCAGTATTGGCCTTTCGTCAGAGAAAATGACTAACAGCTAAAAATGTCAGCTTACGGAAATCCTTTACGGTGGCTAATTTACATATAATTATCAAGTTGATAAAGCCAAATTATCATTGATAGATAATTTTGCTGAAAATCAGCGTGGAATAGAAGGAAACATTGAGTGTGTATATTTACTTCTACAAAAATTGTCATGTGTATGGCCTCTTCTGTTCAGCTGCTTTAGAAGTGATAATGTTATTTTTTTCTTCTCAAAACTGTAATAAAAATCCTTCTACAACAAAAGGGAGTAAGCCATAAAAATCCCTCACTTTATTTGCTTCTTCTATGATTCCTAGATTATGTAATAAACTTACATCATTCATGACCAATAAAAATGTTGTCCCAAATGCCATTATAAACAAAATCCAAAGAAGCAGAACCTGCGAAAAATTATGGAAAAATAAGGCTCGACAAACATGAAAAACGTGACCATGCCAACGCGAAGAAAACAACAGACCTTGATTGCAATGTGTCTGTCGACTGGGTCGTTTCTAGAGAATTTTAGCCTACGAAAGAGGAAGAGCTCTCTAGGAACGTAAAAGTGATAGAGGCTTTTCTTTGCCAATTTTCCTCAGATCAACCGCAACACCTTTGGTCAAGCAATCATATGTTTTTTTCCTCTTTAAGAAGAATTAATGGACATATCTATAACAAGAAAAAACTCAGCGTAGAGGATCCAGTATGATGAAAGTGTTTTTTATGACTTAACTTTAGGGAAATAAGACATAACTGAAACCAGTATTTTGACGTATTTTGAAACAAACCTTTAATAATGTAACAAACATCGTTGACAACATGATGACATATTGACCGTAGGAAGACAGTCTAAGAATGAAAAAAACGGAACGAACTGATTAGTGATCAGAAGTTCTAACGTGTCATCAGTGGCCTTACTGAGCCATGCATTTCAGGAGAAGAATCGTAAGCAAGTTAAATGAGAGTATAAAGTTAACTTCCTTTCATTTTATTGCGACATGACCGAAATCGAACTCGATAGGAAATAGTTTTCAGCGGAAATCTTGAGATCTTTATTTTAAACATTCCTTTTGGAACTTACCTTCTAAAGTATAAGATAAGATTCATCCAACCAAAGAATAGAGCAACCGCGCCAACTTCTCTTTTAAAACCAGCTTTACAGTCACAGGGTGGTATGACGTACAGTATTGATGCTATATAACAAACCCATTCCAAGAAGTTACTGACATCTTCCAGGTATGACAGCCGCTGTCAAGAAAAATTTTAAAAAAATTTGAGGCTTTGGCAGATTTTTTTTTTTGTGATAAACTATTCCCGTAACAGCGTCTTATTGAAATTTAGGGGGGGTTGTCGGATTGTTTTAGAGAAGTAAATTGTCAATATTCTCATGCAGGTACAAAAGGGGCACATGATTGTCCCCCCCTGTGTAATCCATTAGGTCTAACTAAACTCCGTAGAACGTTTCATTTATTATTAAGAGTACAGATATAGCTTAAATTATCTTTACACATTTTCCATAATACAAATTTTTTCCCGTAAGAGTCTTACCTGATCTAAACTAGCATCACATGGTTCAGAATTCCTAGATGAATATGGCAAAATACTCATGGGTGTTGACCAAGATTTACTAACCTTATGGTATAAAGAAATGAGTTCCTTTAGAAGATGCCCTGATGCTGTGATTAACACAAAGTAATTAAACACCTGAACTACCTGCGAAATAGTAAGAACAAAATGCCATGAACACCAGAGTCAATAAGTTATTTCCTTACTTTCCAGTAAAGAGGGAGAAAACTACCTGGAGAGGGGAGGATTTGAGATGAAAAATTACCACATTACCACAAATTCTATTAATGTATCCACTGAGGGTTTGAACATAGCAGACCGACCAGCGGAGCAAATTTGATAACTCAATTGAATGCTGGAAGGGTGCTCAGAATGAACATTTAAAAACCATTTCGTTTCCCTTTCACTCATTTTTTTTTTTAGTTTCTCCCAATTTGTTCGTCAAGGATGTTTTGTCGGCCATCTTGCATATTAGGGTCTCTATCGCCGGGCTGCATGTAACTTGTGATACGTTTCGACCATATCAAGTGCACCTACATGGACATAACTTCGACTCGGGATAAAACACTTACCACATTGGAAAAAGTACATTGGAATTCATCTCTATTCTAGAAGACAAAAGAATGAGAAAACAAATTGTCCCATCTCCTCGTGTATCTTGGCAAAGACAAAATTAGTATTATCAACTGAGTTGATAACGTAAATTGGCCACCGTAAAGAGTTTAAAATCTGACGTTTCGTACGTTAGCCCCTCCTCAGAGCTTTTAAACGTTTTACAGTGGCCAATTTACGTTATCAACTCAGTTGATAAATTACCTTGTTATACTCTCCCACCGACTCAGCACCATAGTTTCTTTAGAAATTTACCCCCTTTATTTTTTGGCAGTCTTCAAAGGAAATATAATTTTACACAGCTTAGAAGTTGAACATTTCTCTGTAGCGTGGACAAAGGAAAATTCTAGGTAACCCGTAGGGCCTCGAAGCTCAGACTCTCAGGGCTCGTTAATGATTAAACAAAGGCCAACTTAAGCCGTGGTTTCTAGGCAATCAATACGCCTCAAAAAAACATACCTATTAGGGTTATCGTGTTTGATATTGAGAAGGATCTTCGTTCGAATAAAAATACATAGGTTTTTTTACATGTAAATTGTCAAATTCATTGAATTGTTTTATAGCCTGCAAAGCTTACCTCGTTGGGATTGGAAGAGTTAAAACCACACAAATCATCTTCATGTGTTCGCGTGTACACGGCTAAGGTGGTCAGCGGTACAATAAAGAGGAGGTAGGTCAACAGGTTGACTGCGAATGTCATCCAGCCAAACTTCTTCCTGGAAACACATGAAAGAGCATTATTATTACCTTGTAGAATAAAAGTGAACAGTGCAGTCCATGACGTTATTTTTAATACTTTTGAATCCAGATCTTTTCCTGTTGAGGTGGGTTTTAAAAGTTGAGGTGATTCATGATGCAAGTCCATGGAGGGTGGTTTTATTTCCAATAACAAACTTATTGTATGTAATATGTAACTGATGGAGAAAAATTTTAAATAGTCAGGGTTGAGATCCTTTAATCATTTTACTCTCCTCGTACCATTTAGTATTCAGCAAATGAAAGCTGATAGGATGCGTTAGGCATCTCTCTCTGCGATGAATCGCCATGGTCTGAAATATAAAAAGAAAAGCATCTCTAGAACACGGCTGATATTTGGTTATTTTTACATGAACATTTACCTAAAAAAACTCGTAACCCACATGAACACGTTTTTGTGATGCTTTTTTGACGTCTATGAGGAGAGGTGTTCACATTCGTTGGACATATGCATGAAAGAAGAAAAACTTTGAATTGCCTTAAATAAAGAGCAATATCGTCGTTAGACATTAAGAGATTTCAAGGGATTGAAGTCTGAATCCTCATCATGATTATTAAGGTATATATTACGTAAATACCCTGTATCTTGCGGGCAAGGGCTACCTACGGCACTGCAAAAGTATTTTGTACGTATTCAAATAGATAGTAGCTCTATAAGGACATTACTGCGCAGAAGTGGTAAAACTGTACCAACAATGTCTCTTTTACCTCTATTAAAGCCAATGAGTTCATTTCAGATCGTTTCATCTCCACAGTTTCGACTTTAAGACTGTCTTTTGATGAATCCTAGAATAATATTTCATTCACTGATTTTGAAATTGATATATAAAACAAGCAAGGACTCATGGGTATATTGGCGTGGTAGTGGACTGATAGGATATTTTTCATTTCGTTTTTCAATTATTCCTTCAAAGCTGTAATGTTTAAAAATATTCGAAATAAAAGTTTTTCCTCTGGCTATATCTCAGCCATATATCCCTAGCCCTACGTTATTCTCCTTTACTAAATCTTTAAACATTTATAAATATTTTTAGTTTTTTTGGCAGAGAGCGACAAAGAAGATAGAACAACCGAGATCATATGAAATAGCGGAAATCTAAAACTGGAGTATTCTTAAATAATATTCATTTGACTTCAATGTCCCTTCAAGCCACAGCTTTGAGTTTTAACCTAGAACTTATCATTTGCACAGGCTAACCATTGGTGGATGTGCAGGAGGCAAACAGTTCTCTAGAAAGTGAGAAAAATGTTGCCGTTATGTCTTCTATTCGTTTTCTATTCTATTACCTTTTCTCCGGTATCGGTGGTTCTTCGTGATTTGATTTCGGGTTCTTCAAATTTTCCTTGAATCAAACCAAGGTCATAATTGATCTGTAATCGATAAGAAAGGATCGAAAAATGTTGAATTAATAGCAGGGTGACGTAAGCCAAATTGCAGCCTTACAACAAGGAAGAAGGGCCGATAGTTTGCTCTGTTAGCGTTTAAGGACTGTCAATCCATCACTCTAGCAACTGATTCATCCTCAATTTGTCGCCTCAACCATGTCCGTTAAAACCACTTACCACTGCAACAAAATCTTAGATAAAGGTCTGACTTACGTGCTCCAAACAGATTATTTTCTCCAAAATGTAAGGAAATGAAAACAAACAAACAAAACAAACCAAGACAGTAGAAATCAAACTGCAGTTTTACTTTTACCTTGCCCGGCGGGGTAACATTTAATAATGAAAGATTGCCTTTAGTCTTACCTTGTAATTCATGCTGTTTTGATCTCCAGTCTCTGTTACAAGCTGATCCAAAATCCGCTACAAGGAAAGAAGGCCCTATGAAACCGTGATACCACATACACTCTAGCTTACCAATCGATATTAGGTGTGCAGTGAAAGAAGCAACTTCTTTACCCTTAAAATTACCAAGAGAATATAAAGTGTCAGGAGATTATAATCTCTTGAAACTGTCTATATTCTCTTTGAATTAATAATACCACAAAATCTTTAAATGTATTCAACAGTTTGCAATTCTATCGAAATATAGTTACCACTAAGGCATCTGGCATATCTTCTACGAGATTTTGTAGCAGCGGAACTACGCCTGTTGAACACGTTGTCAGAACCTCTCTCCATCTATTTAACGAGAGGGAAAAAATAGAAAGTAAACACTAAATGGATAGTTCTTGTAATATATAGATTAAACAAAGCCAAAAATTGTTGTTTTTACTGTATATTGCGCACATGAAAGACAGTTATGCGCATAGACGCAAAGAAAGAGCCTTGAATGTCAGTAATATTGTAACTCAGGGGCTGTTCATTGGAATACCTTAGGTCAAAACACCCAAGAGGAGATTACATAATCTTTCCGCGAGCCGTACGCATTTAAAAAACGTCTCTGTTTGAATCAATATTTTACGTAGTTTTCAATTTTCAAATCTCTTTGTTGGAAGTATCAATATCATCCCCCATCTCTTCATCATGGCTGTTTCCATGGGGTTTTCAAGTGAAGTAACCACAGATTTAGTTTTTCACGACTTCAAAACTGTTAAATGATTTTTGAATACTAAACTTTTAAGGCATGCCCATGAGGTGAAAAACTATAGGTGGGTCTACCAATTCCAAAAAGCTTTTGTCCAGTGGTCTGGGAACTACTATGCTTTCTAATAATATTGTTATATTTCTGTCGATGTAACTCACTGCTAAAATGCCCTTAGACTGATTGAGCACTTTTAAAAATTGGTCAAGAAATCATCTTAAAGATATCGCTTTGGCAGCATGCATTTCACCTGTCATTTCCGGCAATCGTCATGACAACGTCATTCCTCTTTTCTTTAACAGCAGCGTCCAGAATGTTATCATTTGTGTTGTTACGTGTGACGTCCGCTTTGCTATCAGACAACAATAAGCTCACCACAGAAGCGTGACCGTTGATAGCCGCGATATGTAACGCCGTGTTCTGTGAAAAGTAATAGCACAGAGTAGGAACGGAAAGAATGAGGTGACGAAATCAAAGGATGATTAGATAAAATGCCGCACTTGAGCTAAACATGACCATTTCTCGCACCTAACACGTATACCAAATTTACCAAATGAATAGATTTTTTTAATAAAGCACGACAAGCGAATCAGCTGAGGAATACTTAGTTGAGCGTAAAATTTTCGCGAATGTGATCTTAAGGCGATGACGTCCTCGGCCTTACCCTAACTTAAAAAAGAATTTAGGTTGAGGTCCTCGAGAGCCGCCAGGTAAAGTACGAGGTGACAGGAAATGCTATTAATCCATCCACGTGTAGGCTAGTCCATCTCAGGTTATTCAAAATCTCAGCCCAACCGTTGGCATTCTACTAGCGCACTGATTGGCAGAAAACACGGTAGTGGCAAGTAATCACATCAGTCAAGTTTTTAAAAAAAATTGTGGGTGTGCTACCTTATTTTTTTCCACCATGTTCATACAATCCTCGAACTTCTGAAGAATCGCTTCACAGCATCTCGTGGATCCCTTAGACGCCGCTAAATGTAATGGAGATCGGTCTTGTTGATCCCTATGAATTTCAAAAAGTAAATGATTCGTTATCTCGACTTTTTTCACCCGTTATTCGCCCAAACCGTGGTAAATTAAGTTCTGCTACCAACTCTCACTAGTTGTCCTAGCTGTCATTAGCTGCTTCCGCTCATAAACTTTCGCCATCGATATCTGCCTGATATGAACTTAATATGAGCGTTTTGACTAACAACTGAGGAATTCCTCAATCATACTCACGTACCTCTCAATGGTTGCTCCTAATCTCAAAAGCACTTCTGCTGAAAGATCGTGCCCCTCCATGCATGCAAAGTGCAGGGCAGTTTTTCCTTGACTGTTTTGTAGATTTAGAATTCGAGCATTCTGTCGATCCATCAGTTTTTCTATCGCTTCTGTCTTGCCATATCTATCGAGCGAAAAAATGATATGATCAGCGAACAAGATAAAGCCCCATAAATATAATAAAACATATTTTGGAGTGATGTTTTAACCCCGTCAGTTTGCTTACAAAAACAAGATCCAAGTAAATCTACAACTTCAGTACACATCCAAGCTGCGAAAGGATGAAAACTCCCCGGCTGAGCTTGCAGGTTTTGATATGTAAAAGAAGGTTGTTACCAATGCCAAATTGTTTCTGGGGTTTCAAACTACATTGCAGTCTTGCCTTAAGGAGATTAAATCTTTCTTGTTAGATATCCTTCCGTAAGTCAGAGATTCAAAGATTCATCAGGTAGCTCAAGCTATGCCAATCGGTTTAACAGTCGCCGTTTCCATCTAAAAAGACGTTTGTTCCGAGAAAAAATTTCCCAGACACATACCTGCCAGCCACGTGTATGGGTGTTTCCAAGGAATCTGATGTCACACTTGCAGCTGCCTTGTTTTTCGCTACAAAAAGCTCCAAAGTCTACAGAAAACCAAATTGTTCGTCATCGTTAAAGGAAATCAGTTTTTGTTTTTTTTTTACGCAGGCTATGTGCCTTGTATAAAATACAATTTCTCACCGCAATGTTTCCCTTCATGGCTGCATAATGTACAGCTGAGTAACCACTCACATCTTTCTCAGTGATGAGGGACATCACCGCTGGACTCTAAAAACAACGGAAGAAAAACTCGAAACAGTGTGAATGCGTCCCCATGATATGATATACCACAGACGTAAGATATTATGAACTATCTAGTAACAGAACCTAATTTTTAACATGAAAATAAGCAGATAAAAAATTTTAATCAGATGTACAGTTACCCCATTGGTTCTACTGTCACACTGCCCCTCTCCCTAACGCCACGATGAATTTCCGTTATCAGATGTTACTCTGTTTATGTGTTTGTTTCTGGTCATCTGATGTCTGGATTTGGTTTGATTATTCAACAATCATTTACCAAAGTGGAGGTGAATGATGGCGGATACCGTCATACTGAGCCACGAAGAGGCGAGGTAAACATCCACTACTTTCACCGACTTTGAGGTGACTAATTGTTTTAGTCACACACTTGTCTATACCACACAGACTAAAAATAGTTTATTTCTTTCAATATACCGACAAATTGTCAGAAATTAAACTCTTGCCGCGCAATTTTGTCTCATCGGCTGCTCGGAGGATGAATAGTACTTGCTATTCACTTCCAAACTAACCATTCAGCGCGCGAAAAGCAGTATTCATTGATGTGGTATAAACAGAAGTTGTTCATTCATATACCCAGAGTACATAGCTTGGGTCGACGAAGCTTTTTTTGTTAGTTTTGAGCTCTCATGGAGAACTAAACAGACCTGAGAAAGCACACTGTTTTTATAGTTCCTTAACTGACCTGAAGAAGATTTTCTATGACGCGAGGATGGCCCACAGCGACGTGTAACACAGACCGCAACTCAGTGTCCCGGATAGTGACGTCAGCACCACGATCCATGAGTAGTGTAACAGCATCAAAAGCACCATTTTCGGCTGCCATGAACAATGGTGTGCGTCTCTCGTCAGACTTGGGATCTACCATCGCCTCCTGCATAAAATTGAGGTTACCCCATACAAGGAAAGATGAATATATTTGTGCTAAATTGCTTTTCAAAATAGCATATATTTATTGAAACAAATGCCTCCTAAATAGATAAAATACAGCAGGTAATCATTTACTAAGTGATTACCTACCGTAGATTATCTATCTAATTTATCTGATTAACAAAAAAAAAATGACCTTTTCGAGGAGGAAGTTAACAATGTGAGCATGGTTTCGTCTGGCAGCCATATGAAGAGGTGTCCGTCCTCTGGAGTCAACAAGAGTTATTCGGCAGAGCGCCGGGTCTGTACTGACGAGATATTCAACTATCGGTATGGATCCCATTTCACACGCCATGTGAAAGGCTGTTTCCCTGTTTAGTTTCTGTGGTGTTTACATGCGGAAAAATGTGGACATAGATCATTAAGGCTACATCTCTTGGTAAGTATGGGAGAAACAGAAGACAAGTAAGTGATGATCCTCTGGCAAAATATTTAAAGTAGTAATGAAGGAATTGTAATAGATAATGGCAGGCTGATTTTGTAACTATGAAAAGTTTTTTAAAATGTAATTTTTTAATACAGCCATGGAGCAGTAAATGTTACTTACCCTGGGCTGCCTTATCCTCACTCCATATTCAATGCAGTGTTTAACGACCTAAAAATCGATTCAAATTAAAGATTACGTTCTCTTTTGATAAAATCAAACGAGGGGATCAACATGGCGCAAGATATCTTGCTATTCGTTAGACTATGATTAATGAGAGTGTGCTCCCTTAAAAAAAACTACTGCGCAATCCAATTTTTTGAAAAAATCAGGTATAAACTAAAATTATCTGTTAAAGGGTAGGAAGCTACGTTTGGTTCGTTAGCGCCCATATATTCAATTAGCTTATTGTTTCCTGTACAAGGTGTGTGGAATGCGCCTTTACGCGTGTAATTTATTCGAATGCTCTCGCTGCTTCGACAGTTTAAATTGCCTGTTTTGGCAGGACCGTTTTTCAGTTCGTTTTGGTTTTCTTGGAAACGCAACTGCAGTATACAGAAAAGTTTATGAGGCCATTTCCAAGGCCGTGACAAATGTAAGTGTTAAATTTTGGCGAATGTCTATTTAGGTTTTGTGTCGCTTTCGGCTTGGGGTTTTTCTTTACTCTAACGATTGTTTAAATGTATACTTCTTTCAGTTTTAACCGCACGCTATGCTAAGGTATCGCTCTACCGCAAGGTATCTTCGCACTGCTGGTCGAGTCAATAAAGATTAAATGCGTGTTAAAATGTCATTCCTGCTGTCGGCATCGAATCCACTGTGTTGGCGGTTATATCAGGAATGTTTAGAAACCAAGGATTTCAGATTGGGGGATTTTACTGCACAAGCTAGAACGTTTGAATCAGTCGACCTCACGACAGCTTAAAGATCTAAAAGGTGCATGCTTACCGCAAGTACACCACTGTTCACAGCCAGATGAAGGAGACTGTTGCCATCAATATCAACTTCATATAAAAAGTCGTCAACCGTCCCTCGTTGTCGCGCTGTTATGGGAAAAAAAACCCGTTCACTTAATAACAGGTTCAAAATTTAGAATATACATTAGCAAGAGATTATAAGCTTTATTATAATCTCTTGAAAGCAGTGAATAAGTTGTAAGCAAAGTACCATGATTCAAGAGGAATTCAGCTGATTTCCCGGCGCCTCTTTCCATCGCATGAGCCAACGGTGTCATTCGGTCATCGTCGAGGCTTTTTGTGTCTCCTGAATTATCAATCTAAAAACGAAAAAAAATCATTTGAATAAATATAGATATGGTGGTCTACATAACCTTAATATCAATGTTCTTTTTTAATTGTCTACGGAAAGGTTGGTTCTAGATTAAAGAGGAGAAATTATGATGTTGTTTTGAGTCAATTAAATTCTGCTAAGTTGAGTAACCGTTTTCCATTTTTGTTTTTGTTTTGATTTCGTTAATTTTTTTCGATATTTGTTTTTGTTTTTGTTTCAAGTTTTTGTGATTTGTTTTGTTTCCGATGCTAATAGCTCTAGTGATAAAGTTCAGCTGTCTAATTTTCCCAGAGGAAGCTTGAGTGGCATCTTTTATAAAGAGAGAAAATGAAGAGGAAACAATAAGAAATAGGGATTTACGAAAGAAGAAGGACGAGATAGAAGGAAAAGTTTCAAACCTCGCGCTATTTTTCTTTTCGAAAAAAAAAAGGTTCGCTTTTCTCTATGAAAACGGCATTGAAAGTAGGCTTATATGGTTATAACAGGTGTCGTGCTATATGATTCTCTTGAAGAACCTTACCAGTATTTGACAAATTTTTTCGTTATCCATTTCCGCAGCAAGGTGCAAGGGCGTGCATGAATTACGGCCCGGAGCGTTTGCATCTGCACGGCCCTGTTGTAGTAAGGTCTAGAAAAAATCCGTCAACTTATTATCTGTTCGGCAATGTCATCTCATCAGTACAAAAATTACAAGATCCATCAATTTCTACAAGTGCATGTGAAGTAAGAAGTTTGCGAGGTTCTCGTTTCTTTGCCGTGCGTTTCATACGCCCCTGCGCTCGAATGTGCAAGAAATAAAATCAACGAAGTTTTGTTATTGTTAGTTAACAATTGGACAAAGGTCTATTCATCAATGACCGTTACACAATGAAAAAGAAGAAAAACTGCAAAATGAGAGCGAAGTTTAAGTTCTGTCTAAAACAGCACAAACACTCATTACGATGTTAGCGTTTTACTATCCTTAAGTTTACCATTACTTGGAAACAACTGAATGCATAGAGTATCGAATGCAAAACCTGATGAGGCTTAAGATTTCTTCGAGTATATTCCAGGAAAAGTTGCTAACTCGTATGCTTAAAGTCTGGCGGTTAGAAAGAACGTTCCACGGAGGCTCATGACTCAAATATGGGTATCATTGGACATTGTTGTTGATACTTACTAATACCAGTCTTTCGCTTCCAACACGAATGGCAGTGTGCAGTGCAGTATCTCCTGCGTCATCCTTCCTGGTGACGTCTGCGCCACATTCTAGAAGCCTGTCAACAATCTTAAATTGTTTTGAGAGAATGGCGGTGTGCAGAGGAGTTTTTCCTGACTTGTCTCCGTTGTTGATCGCTGATAAAAAAAATTAGATATTCGATTGATGGCTTGATAATCCAAAAAGAAAACAGTTCATCACAAACCTCAAGAGAACTTCAGCAGTAGACTACTTGATCGGTCCTTCAAACCAATCAAAATGGCCTCAGCAAGATGAACGCAAAGAGGGATAGCATGGGCGGGGGGAAGAAGGTCCCCTCGCACGAAATGAAGAAAAATTCACGCGTAATATAAATAAAAGGGAAAGCTTCAAATCTCCCTTCTTATGCACAAGGTTTCATGGAAATCTTGTGGTTTTTACGAAATAAAAGAAAAATTGAGGGTTACGCATACATCAGCAAATAAATCACGCCTCACGCTGGTTTATAAATTCACGAATCATGCTTCTCTCTCTATAAAGTTCACGCGTCACATATTAATTTTGGCCTTAATCACGCGGCACGTATAAACCCTTCGCCACCCTCCGCAAGGGGACTATTTCTTCTTTAACCTTTGAAATTAAATTAAACATAGAGATCGTTTTTCAGCCACAATAATCGATGGAAATAGATCCACTTTCAGTAGGAAACATACCTGACTTTTTCAAAGAATGTCCGAACACTGGCTAAATACAGCTTCCTCGTTTATTTACCACGCACTGACAAGTTTTTCATACCATTCCAGGATGACTGATGTAAGCAGAATTTAGGATAGGAATAATACAATCATACTGGGAAATTGATTTACTGCTTACCTCCGCCTCTGGCCAACAATTTCTCTACCTCTTCCACTTCTCCCTCCAAAATCAGCTTGTGAAGTCTCGTAGATTTATCCCCTAAGATATTTTCCTAAAATCAAAGAGCCAGGAAGAAAGTTGACATGTGTTCGGTTGTTAATCTCGGTCCCAGATCCTATCGTGTAACAGTAACTGAAATGTACAACCGCTTGGCCGTGAATGGTTTAGATACGAGACTAGTTGGTTTTTTGGGCGCTAAATGAAAATATGACAGCGGGACCAAGAAAAGGAGCTTATTCCCTTCAAAGATCCTTGACCAGCCAGCTATGCAGCCACACTTGCTGAATACGAGATCTTATCATGATACAGATGTCAACCGCATGTATATCACCATCTTTATATTTGAATGATGATTTCCTTCATTCCTGCGTTTTCAATTTTACCTGCTTTTTTCCTTAATTCTCCTCTTTCTCAGTCTCTCACCTACCCCCCCCCCCCCCCCCCCCCCACCTTCTCTATTTGAAGTCATATACAATTCCTTGTTCACTTTTTTTAATTGTATACTTATTTTCCCATTATGTCATAATTTTTCACTCATATTTTGTTGGTTTCCTTGTTTTTTTTCCTCTCCGTTTCTCATAATTTCTCATTCCTTGATCTGAAGGTAGAGAGGGACAACATTCAAACCTCACTACACCTAGAATTTGGTGAATCAAGGTGCAAGATAAGGTTTTTATACCTACTTTTCTATATTCCTGACCCTCTTCACCTGTGCCAGAACCCATGAAGACACCGCTCATTATACGGGACCTCCTTCTTTCTCTCGTCGTCTTTATCTCATGATTTTCTTCAGCATCCCCACTTCCGTCATTCACAAACACCAGAGGTATTTCTCCATTGTCACCAATCTGTGTTTCCATGTCTGCGTTTTTATTTTCTTGTCTTTCCAATGTTTCAGATCTGTACCTTTGAAAAGTTCTTTATGAGAATCTAACGGAAGCAAATTTGAGAAGCGTTACTTCTTGATCTGTTATTGTTGCTAACATGCGAGTGACTATTTCTTTCTTTTCTATCATATCCTGACATATTGTCCCATGAAAGCGATGGTGTTTATTTGACAGGCTCATCAAGGTTCCAACACGAATAACGCGCCAACTTCGAATACACCAAATCAATTGAACAGGTATAAAAGTGGTGCATAAATCAAGACAGAGAATGCGTTTCAGTTGATTTGTATGAAATTTGTGTTTTGGATGGCTTGATCATAAAATTATCATTCTGATGCGGAAGATTTTCAAATGGTACGTGCTTGAATTTAAATATCACTCAAATACCACGCATTCAATTGCGTACACGACTACTAACCACATAAACAACATTAATTGTGTAGAAACTATCCTGGCGTGTGGTAAGTCGTTAACAATAATGAAATCGTGAACTTTGCATTCTACACGATAGCACTTGAACGCCAATCCAATTTTGGTTTACAAACTTTTCTCGTGTTCCTCCAAAATCCCAAGTAAGTTATTACGCCGGTAAACCGATAGAAAATGCAATCTATTTCTTAAATAGCACCTCCTCGACGTACATTACTCGAAACAGTAATATTAAAGGCCTCGGAAATGCTCCTATGTCTTGTTTGAAGAGATCGTTTTAGTATTAATTGTGACTGATAAACCAAGCTTGCTAATTTTCTCGGTATTTTAGAGACTAACATGTTAAATTTATCTTCAGAAGCCTAACTTTCAAGAGAGAGCCATACGGAAAATCTGCTATCGTACCTCTCTGAATATTTATGCACTTGCCAATGTCGAGATACTTCGGCGAGTCTGACGTCTGCGAGAATTGCTTATCGTATCGCAGTAGACAAGAAAGAAAACAACGCTTCCAACAATAGGAAAAACGAAATCTCTAGATCGCTATAAGACTTGGATAGTGCTGTAGAAGACTATCCAACATAATTTTTTAACAACTCTTTTACATGCTTATTGTAAACACACATCTCCCACAAACTATTGACCATAGCATTTTATAGTAAAGTTCGGATGTAACGCGTGCTGTCATTGGTTAAAAGAGCGTGCTTTATGAGGGTTTATATAATAAGCTCAGTTATGCACGTATTCCGATTGGTTCTCACTTATGATCTATTGGAGGACAGACGTATAGATGACGTCATCATTAAAAATTTTTTAAATTCTTTATTATTTAAAACAAATAGATTCCAAGTTGCCGTGCGTCTGTTCAGGAATAGATTACAGAGGACGTCAAAACATGGTAAGAACATCAGTGACACACTCGGCTGCGCCTCGTGTGCCACTTTTTTGTTTGTTCTTACCACATTTTGACGTCATCTGTGACCTATTACATGAACAGACGAACGGCAACTTGGAATCTCTTTGTTAATATTAAACTATTGCAGAATATGAACTTTGATGGTTTTTCAACTTTGATGGTTTGACATTTTTGACAGTCTTGTACAGCCAATCAGATTATTTGAACCATTCTAACAGGGATTCTGATTGGCTTATTGAGGCGTGCTTTATGAGAGTATAGAGCATGCTGACGACACTGTTGTTCGCTTTGGAAATAAAGTTTGTTTTGAAAATTGAAAGTAATTCTTGGGGAATTTAACGGATTTTTTATTATAAAACAAATAGAGAAGACTTGACTGTGCTCTGTTCTGTTGTAAAGCACTTAGGTAGCGGCTAGAGCACGAAAGAAGTAGAGACGTAGTCGAGTGTTTCTCCCTACATTTCTTTCGTGCTCTAGCCGCTTCCTGCGTGCTTTACAACAGAACAGAGCACAGTCAAGGCTTCTCTATTTGTTAAATAGAACTTGGATAGTGCTATAAAAGACCATCCACATAATTAATTTCTTAACAACTCTTTCACACACTTACTATAAACAGACGTCTCCCACAAAATATTGACCATAGCTTTTTCTTTACCCGATGGCAAATAAAATACTTGCCTACATTCCCGAAATCTTTGCAAAGCTTAATAAAAGAGGATGGTTACTTTTGAAATAAAGTGGTAATGTGAACGTTCTCGAACAATTTCATGAACAAACCAAAATTTAACTTGGGTCAACCTAAATTCATAATATAGCCTTGTATGAAATTTTCGCGTTAATTTGAATGTAATTTTGTTCGCCATAACGCTGATAGAGGAAAATATAAACCCCAAGTATGAACATGAAGTACTACACGCTGTATATAAACAACTCTACTACATTATGATATTTGAGTGGATTTGAGTTAAGAAGAACATTAAGACCTCAGATTGGCTTCAAATTTTGTACATCAGTATTCGAGATAAAAAGAGTCCAAAACTATGTAAACGCGAGGAAGTCACGCGAAGAAAACTTGGCAGAGTCAAATGGAGTTCACGTAAGTTGTTCTACCTCGTTGTTTATGTACTTACTTAGTCATGTGGATGAGAATCGGAACATGATCACATTTGTCCACAGAAAACCACGCTAATAAGGAGAACTAAATTCGTGTCTTAAGATTTGCTGAGCGGTTCGCTAACAAATCAATGTGACAAATTTATATCTATTGCTTTGTTCATACCAAAGAAACAAAGCACCAATTTACATCACGCATTGTCATAGTCATTAATAACTGTTACCAGCCTTTTCAAGGGTGGTTGGTTATGAATAGAAAAGTGGCCGAGAGAGTTCCATTTCAAAGGCTCCGCTTCCGACAAACCACTGATTCATGCTGAATTAAACGTACATGCTATATAAATAAAGTCAAACTTCTTACATGTTTTCAATTGGTTTGATTTACTTGTGTTCCTTGTAGCGAATGGTTAGCAAGATCGATTTTTATTTAGAACATCACGAGTGAACTCAAGTTCCTTAATGGTCATAACATCAATCGTTTAATTTCCTCTGAGTTTTACAACTTTGCGGGTATCTAATTGACTCTCCTTGATGTCAAATGCCAATTAAGACTTGCCACTGCCCCTGAGAGCTAAAAAATAATGAGAAGTATCAGTGCGATTATGTGTCGAGGGAGGGGGGGAGGGGCGTTTTGCAAAGCGAACCCATCTTGTCAGTTTCTTCTCTTAAGTTTGTTTCTTGTTCTTTTCTCTTTAAAAAAATGACCTTAAGCAGCCTCTCTTCCAGGTTTTCTTGATCGACCTCATAAAATCCGTAACAGAATTAATATAGACAATAGCCATTAAAAAACTTGACATTCAACTACAAGTGCTTACGTTTAGGAAGCTGTGGGCAAAGTTCTGTATGACTGTCTAATTTTCACTCTTCACCCCATTAAAATATCGGAAATGCAAGCCACTTCTTGTGTAGATTACATTTGTTGATCGCATTTATTGTTGCAACTAAGACTACTAATTCCTTTTACTTGAAACTTCGGGTGAACTAAATGATAAATTATATCTCTCAGAGCGAAGATGCTGTGACGATAAGTTTTCGCCCCAAAACTGGAAAACTGGATCTTCGCGGACGGCATAATAACAACTGGGGGAAATAACTCTGTAGAGACGACTCGGCAGCGAGAACGGAAACTCGTCACGATTTCCTGGTACACGGAGATCTACTTCGAGCGAGCTTATACGGACGTCAAGGATAAGACAATCTTTGGTTCCACAGTACTTTTATTCTAGGTCAGGCCAACAAGCGACATGACCTCTAGCATACTCTAGCTTGTAATCATCGAAGCTGTACAAGGTACTTGCTTAAGAAGTAACTGGTGTGAAGTGTTATTGTTACACAAATCTCAATATTTGAATAAGGACACAAAGGAGCGGAACAAAGTCTCTTTGAAGTTGAACGAAAACTACTTAAATATTCCATCTGTTTCTGTTTGTGTCCCAAAGGTGAAAAAAAAAACTGTAAGTGGGTAAACAGAGCCATTTAGATTTGCTTTGCCATCATGGTCCGGAAGTCAAGAAAAAGGAAAAGGAAACGGATTTTAAGTTATCTATTATCTCTCAAGCCTTAAACTTGTGACTTTTTCTCAAAAACTACTTGAATGCAATCGCTCTGACGAAGGGCTAACGCTCGAAACGTCAGCTTTTTTACCCTTTACGGTGGCTAATTTACGTTTTCAACTCAGTTGTTAACACTAAATTACCTGCTATACTCTCCCACCACCGACGCAGCACCACAGTTTCTTTAGAAACTTACCCCTTTATGCAATTGCTCGAAGTCGATCAAAGCGTAAAAAATCAAGAAGTAAACCATTTCGTAGCTTAATTGTTCAAACAAACCCAATCCAGTCCGCATCGTAGAATTCCTTATCCTCAATGATTTATGAAGCAAGCGGATAAACAACAGTCTCTCATCCCTACCCGCTGAGTTATCACAATGATGATTACTCTTTCTTGCTTTTTTCAGCTGTCTTTTAAGGAGAATGTACGTTTAACCACCGTTACGACGTTGCCGACAAGTGACTGGTCATCGACTCTGTCGTTCAGTCGTGAAGATAAAGACTATTGCACAATCGTACACGTTTATAACGAAAACTTCGAAAAACTTGCTCCCCACTAAAGAGTACTCTTTAGCCGTGTCAAAGTTATGTTTTGAATACATGACAAGGCTTTATTCGTAACTCGCTAACCGTATCAAATAGGTCATGAAGCAATATCGACCAGTGCTGACAAAAAGCTGATTCAATGATTTACAAAGATCTTCTTTTTTTATCTGCATTTGATACAAACCGACCTACCGTTTTTTTATACATCATGATACAAATACATACGAGGAATTTTCTTGACAACTGAACTGTCGTGCATAGCCGGGTTTAAAACAGATGGAAATATGTTCCCAATTTACCTGACTTAACTATGATATATGCCTTAAAATAACGCGACAAAACTAAAGCAAGTCACCAGACCACGATGCTCCGAAATTAAGTCCGTTCATTGAAACATAATTCTCAAGACCGAATTCAAACTTCTTTTGAATCCAATTTGGGCGCAGCACTTTACTTCTCTCTCATTTGTTACTTACCTCTGTTTGTAGAGATCGGAACTGTGTAAAAATCTCGACCTTAAAGGTATCTTCCAAAATGGTCAAAAGTAGTATAGCAAGCCTAAATGTTAGTAATCGGTGACATCGAAAAAGGTGGACCAGAAACGACCAAAGTTTTATGATCAACAAGTGTTGTTGAGTCCGGCGGTCGCTTGCCTATAAATAGCAAATGAAATCTCGCATTATGAAAATGATCAATAAATCATGCTAATCACGTTCTTGATGGCGCAAATGCGTTAGATGGTGGCACACGTAAACAAAGATCGCGAGAATCTCAGTGACGTCATTCCAAGGTCCATTTCTGGTCGAATATACAACTGCTTCGATCCAGACAGCCTTTCTTCGACAACGAAATGGAAAAGTAGAGCACGACATTGAGTCAAAATCCTGATCTTTTATTTATATTATTTTGCATAGCGCCCTGGCTTTGGGATTTTGCACCGCGGTTGTGTGCAAGAGGCCACCGAAAAGATCACCCACTGACCTTACGTGGATAAAGTTGAGCTGGAAAGAGAAGCAAGTCATTCTTGTGGTCTACCGGTGCAGGAGGAATACCTGACATTCATTTCCCTTTGCGAGGGTCATTTGACAAAAATTTTTGGCCTGTTTTGGCACCCCCCTATGTAAAACATTTTGATTGACAACAAAAGGTTCAAGACGTACTGAAGACCGACAGAGTTATATGACCTGAGAGATTTTTCTATTTCTTTGTTACCGAAGATTAGCATGGAAAGTCTATCGGTAGCCTTTGATTTAAACGAAAGTGAAGTACCAGAGTTTCGTAGAACTTTGTTAGTTCTTATTACTTGTGCTTTTTCAGTGTTTGGTGACGACTTACTGTTCAAATAAAGCTATGAAATCCAAGACCCTAACAGCTGGCAAAGATTTGTTGAAAGGAGTTTTACAAAAAATCTTGTCAGTAAAGAGCTGTTTTGAACTTTTAGTAAGAATTTCATCAGTTGAGTGCACAATTTTCTCTTCCCTTCCCTCCTTGGTACGTTTTGCATTCAGTACGCACCTTAAAAGCAGCAAGTCGCACATATTGAAAGTAACATATTGAACTAATAGACGTAAGATGTCCACAAGACTCAATATAGTTACAAATTTACCAAACTATGGCACTACGCTGCGCGCTCTTCGAGCAAGCTAGATGCGCCTCCATGGACATCATAGCTTCTCAATACTTCTTCAAAAAAAATTGACAGGAAAAGAGAAAATTATCGATTTGGCCTCTGATGATTGTATATGAATTAGGCATACACTACTGTAATGAAACTTTCCTCAAAAAAGTCTCAAAATTCTCCTTTAACTTCTAAAGAGCTCTTCTGAAAGTGGGTTTCGTCCATTGAATATTATTATCATTATAATTATTACTATTATTACTATTATTACTATTATTATTGCTATCATTTTTATTTTTTTATCATTATCATGCCATATATGAATTTACCGCGCATTGACTAAAAAAGTTAAAGTGGGTTTAGGTCTTTCTGATATACCCGTGCCGTCAATTCGCGAACACTTTTGGTGTTTAATCATAGTAAACCTTTGGGGAAAAAACCGTCACGGTGACCTGTTAACTATTATTTTTATTTTTTAGTTGTTGATTGTTATCTACACTCCGTTTTCTACCGCGTTCTCATCGCTTAAGTGATTCGACAGGGACAGCGTGACGCTGTCCCTGTCGATCGTCTAATCTGAAGTATCATAGCAGGAATGCCCACAGTACGCTTTATTTCATCAGGCTTTTTGTCGTCGTAGCAAACGACATTTTTCCAATTCAAATTAGCCAACACGATTAACCATCAGTTCATGTAATGCTGACGTGTAAATGTGATTCCATTTGGTAATCATTTCATAGCCGCTGGGAAGCTGAATCGCACAATTTTATGAGCTATAGAATACTGATATAAATCAGAATATATCCTGCATTTGTGGGAAAAGAATGAAAAATCATTTTGTTTGAAAGGTTTGACTGTAATCTTACAATCATGTAAAAATTAATCATCTGACCCATGCTGCAGTCCTTAATTGTTCTTTTTTTGTTATTTCTCTGCTGCTTCACCGTTCAGTGCAAAAGTAACCTTAAATCCAGATCCCTGAGTCTGTTATTCAAATAAACAGAAATTTATTCACAAATGGCACAGATAAACAGTTTCACTTTGTTCAAAGGAAAGCAGGAACACTTTATCAAATCTTGTTTAAGTATTCTGTGTCAGAATGTAAACATGATTGTTTCAGACAGAGCAGCTTTTGCTTCAGTTCTCGATTGTTCGAATTCTTTTATTCCGTTTCATTATGAAGTGCAGACGTTAATGTATAATCCACTTCATGCAGTCGAATCAATCAGTCTTGTACCCAAATCGATGGAAAATAATTCACAAATGGCACAGATGAACACTCTTATGTTATTCATACTAAGGTAAGATCTCTTGATCAAATTTTGTCTCAATATTCTTCATTTATATCAGTAAGGTAATCTCTTTCGACACATGACATAAACCATTTTTCACATTAAAGTTTCCTTTTTCAACTACTTCCCATGCGACATAAAGTTTCTAGAAGTGTAGGACTCAATTATTCTCGTCTGATCAATCGACCAATGTTAATGTGCAAACCGCCAATTTCTTTTTCTTCCTCCGGTGATCGAAACTTCGATGGTCAATATTTGCCAATGACGAATGGTAAAACTGAACATTTTCACTTACATACCACTATCAAGTAAGGATAGTCTTTCACGAGCTTAAAAATTACACTAGACTATAAACACTGATAAGTCTTCACGGTCATGAACAATTATGAAATGGAGTGAGCTGATATTGATGCATGATGTCTGGGTACACAGTGTATGGCGACAAGTATTGACATGCCAACAGTCTCTTTTTAAAAAAAAATGCTGACGATTACCAACGAGTGAAATGAAAATAACCTTTTTCTGGTTAGTTATGCAGATCGATAGAAATTAACTCACCTTAAATTTGTCGTAGATTTATAAATTTCTTTTCAAATTTGAAAGCAACCTGTCCGTTCGTGTTTGAGTTGAATTTCAAGACAACACGAGAATGTTCCCTCCGGCGACCATTGTTTGCATGTTTATCTATTATGAGTCAAATGTGCAAGATTAGAATAGCTGAGGTTCTGTTAGATAATGCTCAATTAATAGTAATAATGCTCTTAATTTGCCTGAGGAAGGATTATTTGGGGTAATTATAATTTCATTGTAGGACTAACAATGTGCTATTTTCATCGTACAAGATGCTCTTTGAATGAGTTCCTCGCGTACTTCACTTGTCACAATCTTAGAGACCTTCATCGGTAACTTGCTGTCGCTTATATGTATATATATATATGTATATAATTGCGAAGAGATTCCTGGATCGAAAATCTTGTTCGGGTGATGCAGAAAGGAATAGAAAAAGACTGATTATCTACAACTCTGCTTTTCCTTAAAGACAACTAATCAAGTTTGTCGCCTCACCTTGTGTCTTCTCGCAGTCTTTTAGCTCTCCACTAAGAGTTAGATTGAAAAGAATTTGGCTATCAATGGAGCCTTTTTTTCAATACCGGTCATGTGAACTAGCCCCGGGGGGTATTTGCCGTCTTTTGTCTGCAGCACATATACCTGCAGCACATATATCTGGGCTATATAATTTAGGTCCGTACCAAAATAAACTTGGTCACGCAACACTCGTTAAAGTTGCTGTGTCTCTACCTAAATAACAATTGTTTTTTTCTCTAGAAATTTCTTTTTCTAAGAAATCTTCAAGAAACTACGTGAACGCTGTCTTGGCTGCAGAGCATATAGCCACAGTGTAAGTTATAATATCCTTCTTGGCTCTTGGCCTATCTTTTTTCCTTATTGTAGGTATTCACAAATAAGTGAAAACATTTTAAAGGCCCGGAGAAGAACCAAATATGCTAAAAAATATTTGCGATTCTTTGAAAATAGCCCCAAGGTAATCAATTTGAAAGTTATCATAGTCTGGCAAGTTTCAAGTACTTTGAGATCACAGTGATTCTTCGTCGACCTCTCAAAGCGATGAGAGTTACTACTAACAAATTAAACCAAACTGTACATTAAGAGATGTTTGGCGAATTTTCAAGGAACACCAAATTCTACAGCCAAGGAAAGTATCATTTTTAGGATGTTTTAGCTGTTAGCAACCTCAGGGCTTGTTTTTGGAGACAGAATATCTCAAAATATTTACTGTGAATTGTATTTGCTCATCTTGTTAGGTTCAGATAAATTATACCAGTATAATTATGGGCATGATGCTACAGTCAGAGCATCGACCATAATGCCGGCGTAATGACCAAACTTCCTTAAATTTCATTTGATGTTACAGTTCAGTTAGAGAAAACTTCTGTAGCCTGAGTACTGTTATAGAAAATCTTTTTCACAAATCAGCCAATCACGTCAAAGAACTCGAATCTTAACATTAAAAAGCTGACTAGACATTTTTTGCGCACTTTTGATGTTCGTTTTCACGGAGTTTAGCTGATTGCTTTTGAGCTTAATACATATTTTCTATGGAGTCTGGACTACAACCTCTTTTTTGTAAATAGAGTTTTTTACTTCTGTTAATAGTGAGCCTTTTTCTTAATGCTTGCACTTAAGGAATTTGATCTCCGAAAATTTTGTGTTCTAAACTTCGGTAGGCCTTTTCATTTATCATTTTCGGCTACTTTTCCCAGTTGCTGATAGGAATGCGGGAAGGGGGAAGGGCTGGGGGAAGGAAGGTTGAGGGGCTGAGGGAAGGAAGGTTGAGGGGCTGGGGGAAGGAAGGTTGAGGGGCTGGGGGAAGGAAGGTTGAGGGGCTGGGGGAAGGAAGGTTGAGGGGCTGAGGGGAGGAAGGTTGAGGGGCTCTTAAAACTATGATCGGCATAATATCATGTTTTCAGGAATGACGCTGTAAAGCAAGGAGCAAAATTTTCCAGCATAATTTATTTAACCCCACCACTTGTTAATTGGAAAAAATATCAAAAAGCTCTATCAGGATGTTTTCTCCGAAGAATCGAAAAGTTCAAAATATCCGCCTGGATGGCTTTTGCCCCTTCGCAAACAAAGCATTAGATTAATGAAAAATTAACCTCGCACGCGACAACGCGATGCAATCCTGCTTTGAAATTTTGTGTGCTATCAAAGGATCATTTTATCTTTTTGAAAATATACCTTTCCTCGCGCTTTTTCGCAGCGGTAAAATATTGACAGGACCTTTTTACAGGCCGTTAAAGTTCGCCTCAGTTTCCTCTTCGGATTGTCACACCGCCTTAAATAGATTTTTCTATTATTATTATTACCTTTTAATGATGGAGATGAAAATAACATGTTTTATAGAGCATTCGTCACAAAACAAAACGAAACAAGAAAACCTCCTCTGGAAACAACAGAGCGAGTGCTGGGACGAGTGGAGGAGTGTCGTAAAAAATGAGCCCGCGATTTTTCTATGTCTGGTATAAAAATCAGTGCGGTGTGACGTCAAGCATCCCATAATATAATGTAGGTTCTTGTTGATCGACCGTCATGTCTTGGTCTACCTCGCATGGCGAAGGACAGGGTGATAGCCTCTCTTGCTTGCAAACTCCATGCAGCACTCGCCTCAAGAGATTAAAACCCGCCTAGACCGTGTAGTAGATACTGATGGAAATGTGAGTCAATTTTTAGCTCGTTTGATCCTTTCTCTACCATGAAATTGACGGTTTTCTTTCCTGTCTTGTTGTCTGTTAGGTTTTGGACATGCCGGCTGTTCTCGAGGCAGTGACGATTTTAGAGCGCCTTCCCATAACGAAAGAGGCTCTTGAGGTAAAATTAACAAATTTAATTTTAACAGTTTATATTATATCTTAAAATTATGTCAAATGTTAGACTGATGACTTTTACGGTTTTAAAACAATTGACGGAAAACGTCCTTGTTGTAAACCGCATGTGAAAGGGTTAGAAGGACGTCGCTTCAGATCTTCCGTAATTTATTTGAAACACTTCGGGGAGAGTTTACCCCCAACGTTTGTTTAATATGATATTCTAATTCTGCTGTTTCTGAAGTTTTCATTTAAATCGCTGAGAGAGAATTTCTTATGATCAGCGTGTCTAGGAACATCACGTACGGAAGTTTATTCTTTTCCGAGAATTACGCAAGGTTGTCTTCTTGGAAATGGGGAATCTGAAATGAGAAACAGCAAAAAATGCCTTGATTCAGATTACTGTATAATAGTTCAGATTACTGTAAATGACTATGATCAAACAAAGACCTGTTTTTCTTTGTGTGGTTTTTAGTTTGATCAATTTCTTTCCAAGCAGCTTCGAAGGACAATCGAAAAGTGAAATTCACATCGTGGGATCGAAATTTACTGGAAAGTTAAGATCCAGTGACTTTTTTCTATTTAGATAGAGTTCTGATGTTATTGCAAGAATTACGTTAATTTATCATTGAGAAGAAAAGCTAGTATATTCTTGATTTTTTCTACTTTTGTACTGATTTGGGAAATTTATCTGGTGACTATTTGATCGGCGTTGCCGGAAGATAGTCGTTCATTCAGGATTGTGAAATTCGCATTACTCGCTCTCCGTTTCCTTCGCATCACACTCTACCTAACTTGTTTTCAACTGTCCAAAGATATTTTGAAGTTTTAAAAAATTTGGATTCATTTTGCTGATACCAAATTAAGATCATTATTTCACCAACGATCGTGAACGTAGAAGTGGAACTCTTTATCATCTCCCATGCCAACTAGCCTGTAAATTTACACAAAGTGCTTATTCTACTCAGAGGCCTTACTACTGTGTCCGTTTTCCACATGTTGATTTTGATCACCTGGACTGTAACTTAAACTTTTAGTACTGCCAACCTGTTGTTGCTGGTGCTAGTGAAACGACCTTGGTAGTTTTCATGTCTCGGTATTTAAAGGGAAACCTTTAGCTTGATGTACTGTTGAGCATAGTAATATTTGCCCTTGTTGTGAGATAGCGGTTGATAAATTTTACTCAGTGAATTTGACAGTAAAACTGAGTGGTTTATTTTTACATGTCTGGAATATTTTCAAGGGTCATAATTTTGAGTAACTTATTTAGAATCATAGACACTGGGCTAACACTAGTACTTCTTTAGATAACATTTTTATTATTTCTCCATCACATCTCTAACAGACAAAATTGTGCCAGTATGTTGTATCTGTATCTTGACCATATGTGAAATTAAACTTACATGCAAAACATGGCAAAGTGAATTCATGTTTGTGTCTTATATTTTAGTTGTCCTATTCTGGGCTGTCATTTCCTTGTAGGTCCTGCTTTATGCCAGTTGATTGTACTTTGGTCAAGTTAGTTATCAAATTGTATCTAGAGGTTTATGTATCTCTTGCAACTTCCGGTAGCATTTCCCTTGTCAATCGGCACGGCATAATAGTTTGTACAGAAACTAGTCTTTCTTTTTTATAGTTACTAACCAAATGATTTTTGTTCTCAAAAGAAAACACGGCTGGGAAAGACAATAAACCTTCTTCGAAAGAAAACAAAAAATGAAGAATTAGCCAAGAGGGCCAAAGGACTTGTAAAAAAGTGGCAGAAGTTGGTGATAAATCACCTTGAGACTCTACGCAATGCAGACTCTCCGATAAATGGCAGTGGGTTGTCATCACCACAGATAAATGGAACTGTTAGGGATCCTGAGAAACCTGCCTCCCCATCTGTTGACAGGGCAGGAAAATCAAAAATTCTTGAAGGAAAGAAGAGAGGGGTTAAAAGAAAACGTAATAGTTGCTCCAGCTCAGAAAACTCTCCTGTTGTGTCCTCAAGATCAGATGATTGTGAAAGTCATCCTGGAACTCCAAATTCTGGTTTACTGCCACTAATCAAAGATATTCACAATAAAGGAAATATTTCATCAGTTTCTCCTTCTCAACCACCTACACCACATAGTGGAGACAAAAGTACTTTATCATTACAGAGCCCTGGCGATAGTAATGTCCTCTCTGTAGATTCAGGAATTGAATCCCAGCCAAGTGTCAAAACATTGGATGAATTAAATAGTGAGAGCACAGTAGCAACTATGGAATCAAGTTGGAATGATCAGTCATCAGATGTTCCAATAAATCTTCCTTGTAGTTCACAGAAAATGTTTGAGAACCAAACTGACACAAGTGAGGGTGTTTTGTTACAAATTAATGAAACCTCAAGTGGATATAACAACAAGTCAGATAGTGTTAGTTGTTCCCATGATGAAGACAAAAGGGAAGTGAACATGTTGCCAGAACATCCTGTTGAACAGGAAATGCCCACAACACCTGTTGCCAAAGAATTTGTGTTAGATGTAAATGTTGAAGCAAATGGAGTTACCGGAAGATTTGGTGATGATGGTGCTTGGTACGACTGGACGGAGGTTATGCCTGCTGGGGATGGTGTGCTACAAGTTTTACCTTACGTGATACTTGAATAATCAAATCATCAACTCACTTTCTCATTAATATTGTATTTCATTTTATAGTCTAGAAACACTACTTCTACACTATGTGATGAGTAGTTAGTACCTGTGCCAACAATATGAATGCAATGATGATAGTTTCCTTGTTTATAAGTTAACTTCAGTGTTGTGATTGTTAGATTTAATGTCAATACAAAATGTTGGATGCAACTTTGTTAGTTATACTGTTTTCTGTTTGTCACTGGTTTCAGTCAAAAATTATTTATTATTAGTGCCACAGGTTAAGTGTTACTTAATAAAAGCTGTTTGCCACCAAGCAAACACAAAAGTTATGGAAAGGTTAGGAGCAGAGTGGTCTTATTTTAGGAAATTTTTTTTCCTGACTTTTCAAATCAGGATGTATAACTAGATGTAGATCATGATGACAGTAACAAACAAGGTTTTATACCTAATAAAATGGAATACTGAGAGTAGAATTTAAGTTTAGAAGGTTATCAGAAGTTTGGAAGATTTTCAATTTCCACCCTATTTGACCTTTTTGTATGTAGCAGTGTTTCTTCCAGATGTTGCATTAATTAATTTGCATCTAATATCAATCAGCTTGAGTGGCAGTTACTTAGAATTGCTCTGAGTTACTCCAGCCCTGTATTTAAGGTTAGTTTGAAAGCCCAATGTCCAGACAATTTTCAGGTAGCTGTGTATTAGTAAGCCATTTTCACAGAGGGAAAAAAGTGCTTTAGCTGAGGGTGGAGAGATTTAGTTAGAAAAGTTGGTTGGAATATTATGGAGATAGATTGACTCTTTATTTTCATCCAACTTAATGCACAAACCTTTCTTTTTCTAATTTGTGTGCAAATTTTAATTTTTTCCCCTTAAATTTATTCTCCCTCAATTGATATTTTTATTTGAAATTGTCTCCATTACTAGCTTGACCTTCCATCCTTTAAACTATCCCCATGCATGCTCATTCTTCCTGTTGAAATGCAAATAGTTACTTTAATGTAATACAGGTCTATATGTGACTTGTCAATGATAATTACTTCAAAATCAGTACAACAAAAGTACACATTTGTATCAGTATTCCCAGTGCATTTTAGGTTTAAAGTGCTCTTGGCATGTAAAATGGATCATGACAAAGTTAGTTGTGTAATATTACTATACCAAATTACATTTTCAGATAATTTTTTTGAATGGCGGTTGGCATGAATGTAGGTTGTACTGACCTGATACTGTTTGTTTTTCTGTCCCTAAGGGCAAAATGTAAACCATTGAATTTGCTTTTTTAAAAACCAAAATTTGCATTCAATTGTTCATGTACAGTTAGTAAATTCCTATCAAGCATTACAAAGTTAAAGTTAAGAGTGAAATCTTTACTGATGCTTGCGACCATGTAAATAATCCGTAACTAACTTCTGTAAAGGATTTGAAAGAAGTGTATTGAAGATGATTGCAGGTCATTAAAACAATTAATTTCATGTATTTGTTACTGTCCATTTTATATGAATCCAGTTCAGCTGTTGAGAGTTTGCTCTCAAAGTGCTACAACAGTCACAGGCTGCTCAAGCTCTAGCTGTGAGATGATCATCTTGTGAAGTAGGAGTCATAGCAAAATTATAAGAGTTTGTATGGGAATAATTTACAACCCCTCTTAGGAATACAAAAATACAGTCAAATTCTCAATAAAAACACCTCCTTACTTTCACAGTGTATTGCTTGTTATCTCACCACCTCCTATGTTAAAAAGAACCCATTTTAGTGAGTTATCCATTTCTAGGGCTTCTGTGATGTAGTAAACCTAGAAATGGATAACTTGCTCAAATGGGTTCCTCTAAGGATACCTCTCAAAATTTCCTGCAAAGTCAAGATTTTAAACCAGGGAAGTAATGGAGGTCTATTTCTCCTGAGGATGCCCACTTTTCTCTTAGATAAGCCAAAATTGTACTTTGTTTAGACCTTCTTAGCCCTTTCACTACCATGGGTGACCAAGATAACATTTCTCTTACAATATTGTTATACAGTATCAAGCAGGCGAGTGATGAGAATAAAGAAAAATATCAAATTCTCTAAACTAATATCATAGGAATTATATAGTAGACAGTAAGGAGAATTACTAGTGAGATCTTAGGAGTGGGAGGTTTGACTCCCAGAAGTGACCATTTTTTTTCTTGGAGTATGCCTGTGTTATTTACTGACTGCATCATCTTTCACTTGAATCACCAGGCTTCACGTTTACCACCTTCATTTTCATCATCTTGCACCAAAGCATCACATTTGGGAAAGTATGCAGGACGTTTATCATCAGTGACCTAGTTAACCCTGTAACTCCCAGATAAAATTTGTAATTTTCCTTGGTGTCAACCATACAATTCTTTTCATGTTAGTTCAGAGAATTAAGTATTGGACTAACTAATTGTCCCCAAATTAATCTTTTTCTTTATTCTCATCACTTATCTAGTTGACATTGTATGGTTGTTGTAAGGAGAAATCCTGTCTTGGTCACTCATGGGAGGTGAAGGGTTAAATGACCCAGCCTGCCATGAGTCTCCTATAGTTCAGTGGTAAAGCATCTGAAGCACTAATTGGAAGGTCATCGGTTCAATTCCTATTGGGAGCACTTCCTTTTTTTTTTCTCCCACAACACCTGTGTCAGTCACTGAATACATCATCTATCACTTAATTAAATCACCACAATTAAAATTCACATTAAGTAATAGTCCATTTTACAGTTGTGTGCTTGGTTGCCAAGCCTTTAACAGGAATGAGGCTAAGGGTGACCTTGGTAATAATGGTTTGATCTCACACAAAATTTATCAAAGTTAAAATTGGGACAAATGTATGGGAAACAAACTGGAGATTTGACACAAATCTTTGGAGTGAAAAGGTGACACATGCCAATGGTAGTTTTCTCTTGGATAAAGCAATTTACATCAACTGCCAAGTCTACATCATATTTCTTTCAAATTTAATGCACTATAAAACATACGCATTAACAACAGTTACTATCAGAATTAACATTCACAGCATGTGCTTGGCAATCATATATAACATAACATAGTATTATCTAGCTGTACTGTCTTTGAAATGTATTAACAACACAATTTTCATTTTAAAATTCAGTATTTTAGTACTCCTTTAATCACAAGCCACTATCAAAGTAATATTATTGTCATATGTTTTATAAACAAACACTGTTAACTACAGCAGCAATAACAAATTCTAACTCAAACCCTCAAAAAAAAATTGTTTGTTAACTTCTTGAGGGATGTCTACAAAATACACTCTGACCAACAAATTGCCAATTGTTTTATATTTTTTGCCACTGATCAGAATATTCAGCATATTATCATTCCTAAGATTAGGAAATATAACACAGTAGAGTTACTAATATGTCAGAATTCTATTTACACTTTGCAGTGAGCAGAGGCAGACATACAAAACTGTAAAATAATTTGCTGTTATATTGTGATAAATTTGTTCTATATAGTGCTGGATTCTTTTTTAATATTTAGTAACAAAGTACTCCTGTTTTAATAATTTCTAATTTTCAGCCTTGGTTTTCAACTACCCTCAGACAGGACCTCAACTGAGTCATAACAGGAAAATTACTTGTAAACTGTAAGTTTATCTCAAAATAGTCATTATCAAAACAGCATGCAAATTGTTAATTCAGTAAGTATGCTTGGTTTGTGCCTTCTTTACACAATAAACTTGTGATTACCCTTAAAAGTTGTTGGCTGATGACAATATTATTGCTTTCCATCTGCAGTAAGTTTGTATACATGATCTTGATGTATTCATGAATTAATCAAACTGTTGTTTCTGTCTTATTAAATTGATATGGCATGTGCATGTCATAACCCAAAGAAACTAAAATGGTGTGAAGAGTCACATGCCACTGATATTTAGATTACAGAAACACATTTTCAGTACCAAGGTTACACACCCAGATTATCCATCTTTGAATGTTAAAACTATATTGTCTTTAACTTAATAATCTTAATACCCTGATTTTAAGGTAAAAAGGTTACATGCATTTGATACTGCATATTAAATAATTAATCCAATCCATAAGTAAACATCACATCTGTCAGTAAAAATATGCAAGACCTTCGATGCAATGGCACTTAGCATCTTGTAACTGAAAGGATGAAATATGCTAGGGTCAAATAGCTATCTTCTCATCAAAGCAAAAAAACAAAATAGAACAATAGCACATTAATTAACAACTCCTAACATTGATAGACAAGTAACTTTTCTCTGCATATTCTGCTACATTTTCCCAGTCACAAGTGATGAGAATAGAGAAGTATATCAACAGAGGGGTATTATCATGATAATGTAACATCATAAAGTTTTGACACCTTTAAAATTTGATGTTTTTTAAAAAAGCCAGAAATTGACTGGACCTCCCTTTGTTACCCTCATTACGGGAAACTTTAAATCCTTCTTCTATGTATGACCACTAAATGGTGGAGGCTGCTAAAATCACAGGACCTCCTACTATTGATATTAAGATCAATTCATTGTGTTAAAATGTTACAAATACATACCTGCAATGTTTCTCAGGCAAAAGAATCTTCATCAGATGCCACCAAGCTCTATACACACATGAGGAAAGAGAAAATTATTACCATTCCTCCCAGATCATCAAGAATATACATATTTATTTTTAAAGACAAACATGAGAACTATTCCTCTGCATAAATGTGTAAATATTAAATAACATTGTCTTGACAAATCTCAAATGAAAATTTTTTGTTAAAAAAATGAGAGAATGTAACAAAGTTTGACTTCTAAAATCGTGAAAGTTTACAAGCTAGGACATTCCAATTGGCTCCAATCTAAACAAACTATTTGCATAACACTGCATGATTTTCTTCTAACCCACATCAAGGTATTTTTAAAGGTCAATTCTGATTATTTTGACCAAGAAAACAATGTGGTGACATTCCCAAAATGCTGTGCTTTTTCAAATGGTTATCATCTACTTACATAATGCCACACCTCCCTTTATGATAATGAATACCTTAATGATGAATTTGATTAACTGATAATAAAAATAACCACAATAATGCCAGTAATAAATATATCTTATTCACCAGCTGGGAGGTTCATGTTGGGAAAAACTGTGTCTGGGGTCTTAAATACCATCTGAGGCCATAGGCCGAAGGCAGCACTCAAGACAGGGCACAGTCTTTCCCAATATGGACTGACCTAGGCTGGTGAAAAAGATTTTAATTTTTTTCTAGGGCTGTAATTTTGGCAAGACTCTCTATGAATGAAAAAATTTTGGAACCAATCAGATGACAAGATTTGAAGAATACTGCCGGCTCACACATGAAGAAAAAAAATATATATTAATTCAGTAAAAAAACCAATAGAATGCAAATCTCACACCATGGTGAAGTGAAAATGTAAGATTCATCAAGTCAGACCATTGAGTAATTAAAAGACTATGAAATCCACCAATCCTTGAGAAAAAAAAATACAAATAAAAATATAAATACAAACCTCATTGAGAGTGAAAGCATTCCCAGACTGTGGCTTTCGTGGACTATCAGTAAATGGATCCTCACCTAAAACTCCTTTGTCTGCAAAAGGGTCACTTATATCGCTGAAAGGATCATCTGCAGGAAATGCTGCAAAAGAGTCATTTTCAAAAGGATCTCCACTGTCAAATACACCTTCCCCTTTACCAGGGGTAAACTGTGCAAACATATCTTGATTTTCCAATTCTGATGGAAAAATTTCAGAGGGTACTTTTGTTGAACCAAAAGGATCAACTTTAATACTTTCCCCACTAGACTTTTGAGGAAAGTCAAAGTTTGTAAAAAAGTCTTCACTGAAAGGATCAGAAAGGTCTTTGCCTTTCCCTGCAGAAGAAACTTCCACTGAATTAGGCCATGATGTGGCCCAATCAGAGGTTTCATCTTGAGTTATCACTTTGTTATCATTAAACTTCTGACCAAATACATCTCCACCAAATGGATCTGGAAATGCCTCTGTTACATTTGAAGACTTGTTCTGTGATTTCTCATTCAAATCTACTCTAGGTGGCAGTGCAGGAGGGGTTTTCTTTGCACTGCTCCTCTTCCCTTGATGTGGAGAGTTTGATGCTGGTGGCCCTGTGGATGTCTGGGGACTGAAAGGGGAAATTCTGGGTGACAAAGTTGAGTTGAAGCTTGCTGGTCTGGCTGGGAGAGGAGGGGCTGATAATGCAGGGCGTGGTGGAAGAGGAGGAGGGACAGTTGGAGAGATGGAACGTTGGGAGATTGAAAAACTTGATTCCTGGATATGGAGCTCTGAATTTCCATCTTTTTCTTTCTTGACCTCTTCCTCTTTGGTGTCTGAGGGTGGAGATTCTTCATTTGCTAAGTTTAAAGCACTGTCCATCTGATTCATTACCTTAGTTGTGTCCTTGTTTTCATCAGCCCCCAATTCATTTGAAGCATTTTCTGCACCAAATAAAACATTTTCACTAAGTTTACTGATTTCAGGCTCTGAGCTTTCATCACTTTCCTCAATATCTGCCTTCTTCTGGTTGTCTGGACCTTGAAAAGAAATCTTCAGCTCTTCAAAGAGATCTCCAGGTTGATCACCAGATCCAAGAGTATCCGAGACAAGTGTGTCACTTTCAGATTTTGATGCAGGCGCAGGAAGTGCTTCATCAGGAGGAACATCAGCCTGTAACTCTGACTGTACATTAGACACTGAGCCACCTAATTCAAGATCATTAGAGATAGCATGCTGTGATGCTGGCTGATCACTTTGCTGTGACACATCAATTGAACCAGTACTAGACTCCACAGTTGATGAAACACTAAAAGGATCACCAAATGGTGATTGGTCAAACTGCTCATTGCTACTATCTGCAACCATTCCACCAAAGGCATTATCCCATGAGAAAGGTTCCTCTGCTTGGTTGGAAGATTCTTTTTCAGCTGCCACAGCTTCACCAAAGGTATCATCCCAAAAAACTCCAGTTGAAGTTACAGGGTCAGCTTTTGGCAAAGTTTCAACATCCTCAGAAGTAAAACTTTCAATCCAAGAGAACTGTCCTTGTGTTGTAGTAGTGCTCTGAGTTGTTTCTGGTTGGGAAGTTGTGTTTGTATCTTCAAATGCATTGTCCCAAGAGAAACTTACAGCTGCCTTTTCAACAGTTTTATCTGACCTCTCAGAGTCAACTGTTTCCTCATCACCATTGTCTTCTTGACTTTGATCTTGGACACTGGCAGAGTTGTGCTGTTGTTGAGCACTTCCAAAGGCAGTGTCCTTATCTTGAAGATCACTTGAGGCAGCAAAAGGGTCATAACAGGAGGGGTTCTCTTTGTTATTTTTCATCTCAGCCTTGTCAAATGATGCTTCGAATGTTGCAAATGATTCAGTGAACAAATTATCACCAGTAGGCTGGGCTATTTCATTCAATCTTGTGGACCCATCTGATGGTGCAAAAGGGTCTGAACTGCTTTCTAAACCACTTGATGTCTCCAAAGCTGATGGCATCTCTATTTGGTCCTCTCTCTTAGCATCAGTAAGAGGGGGGAAAAGAGCTACTTTGTTTTCAAGGCTTCCACTTTTTGGTGCCTCGTCTCCTTCCTGTCCATCATTGTTACCAAAGGAGGGAGTCCACACATTTGTATCATCAAAGTTAGTTGCAAATTCAGCTTGAGATCCTTCATTAGGACCCATCTGATTCACCAGAGAACCACTCCTTGAGTGTCCACTCTTAGTGTGTTGAGAATGTGTCTCTGATGATCCAGAGGACACTGAACCACTTCTCACTACTGATATGTCAGCTGATGCCACAGATACTGTGTCTGCTGCTCCTGATTCACCTGCTGCATGATCAAACACAGAGGAGCTGAAGAATGCCAAGTCAGCACTGGTGCCATCATGGGCAGGAAATGGTGACTCCATGGATACCTGTGAAACTTGATCAGGATCCTGCAAAGGCAAAATATTTCATTAGAAAACATCATTAAGGAAGCAAGCAGGATGGTTCAGTGGTGCATGCACTCTCATTTGATTGTTGTAGACAGGGCTAAATTATACACCTAGCAACACAAGTGGGCCAAGTTTGCTATTGGTGAACTTAGCAGACAGTTTTTCCCAAAGTTCACCCTTTTTCCCTGAAAAAAGACTAAGAATCCAAATTCCAATTGAATCTCACATCAGTGGTCAAAGAGCCAGTATATGGATGTTCTACTACTAACCTTTCAATGCTCTGCAAACCATAACAATTGCTATTTCCATTCTCCCCATTCCTAATGGCTATTTTGACTTTAAGCCTTTGTAAAAGTTGCAGTGGCTGTAAAGCATTGTGATAAATACCTTATTCATGAATGTTGGACTGAGAAGAGAAGAGGAACTTGGAAAACCTGTTGAGGGTGCTGCCTTTAAAGAATAATGTGAAAGTCAAATTACACAATTACAGACTGCTATAAAAGGACTGCAAGTGTTGTCATGACACATTTCTACCAATATTTAAATGCTCAATATCAACTAAGTAAGCCATTTTGCACAAAAGATACACATTGCCAACAGCAAAACCTCTCCATAAAACTAAGATCTTTTTTTCTCTTCTACAATCAATATGCCAGTCCTAGATACTATCAAAGTCTATGCAAAAATTTAGTAATCAACTATTCAAGAACCAAATTATAGTAAATTCTAGTCAGAGAGATTCAAACAGTTCCAAGGTACTAAATGTCACATTAGTCAAGAGGAACTTGACCAGATTATCTCTTAAGCCATTAGATGAGCCATTCATGAATTGTGAGTGCAAAGGCTAAATATCATCAAACCAACCTCAGTTCCCTCTCTGTCACTTTCAGAAGGAGGTTCTGAAAGTTTTGGCTGAACAGGTGGAGTCCTTGGAACCTAATGATACATGAACAACAACTCAGTCAGTTATCTTATCAAATCCTGCATTCTAATAAGCTAAGCAAAAAACAATGATTTTGACCATGTAGATCAGGGACCAAATTGTCCTGTGTGCCATATTCACTACAAAAATAAAAAAAACTGTTCTGAAATATTTGGGTAGTTTCTAAGTTAGGGAGCACAGTGAGTGACTAGACCTTGTATACAATCTGCAGATTCCATATTGTGCAGCTCTGGTTAATATTTAAATCCATCCCATGGGAAGTCAACAAATGCAAATTCAAATGAGGAAGTGTTGCAAAAACAATATTATGGAACAAGACTAATTCATGTTACTGTGTACAGCTAAGATTTCTTGCCTCTGATTGGCTTTTTTCTTAGAAACACCCATTCCACACATCTTTCCTGTGTTTTCAGTTTCACTAATAATTTTTTGAGTCTTGTAAGCATTCAGATTGTGCACCAATAGCTTTTCTGAAAATTATCCTCCCCTGACTAAGAATGACTTACTTTATAATGTGAATCAGTTTTATTCACTGGTATGTTCACTGGCTCATATTCATGATCAACTTGTGCACTGGGCGTAGCTTGTTTATTGTTACCATTTTTGTAAGGCACCTGGATAAAAGCATTTGCACATACATGTGTAACTCTTACCATACTACAGACTGACAATCACAAGGCACTGATCAAGTTACACAACTGTAAGCTGCATTCATTATTGACTTTCAATCTACCCTAAGTGATATTGTAGTCAGTTTTTCCCATCTTAAACTATTTCAAAAAATTGAAACTGTTCCTGACTTTCAGTAATTATTGAGAGATAATCACCCCTTGAATAAATAAAAATAACAGCTCTTGCTGATAAGACTGGCATTTTCTTTTTTTAAGTCATTTTTTGGTAAATACCAGATCCAGTTTGTTCTATACTGATAATAATCAACATAAGACTTAATTAAAGAAAACAATTCCACGTTGGCTGTGAAGTGAGTAGCAAGTACTTATCGCCTCCAAGCAGCCAAAGAGACAAAATTGCATGTTAATCAACAATTTCATTTCCGACCATCTCTTGGTATATTGACAGAAATGAACTTTTTTTTTAAATCTGTGTGGATTATACCAAAACACCTCTTTACCTCAGTGTCGCTAAAAGTCTTGAATATTTACCTTGCCACTTCACGCTTTGGTAAATATCCACCATTATTCACCTTCACTTCAGTGAATAATTGTTAGCTATCTAACACCAAAGACCTTTTTGACCAAATTAATATCAATTTTAAATGACACCATATACAATTCAAAACTAGTGAGTAAAGTTATTCCATGCACCTCATAAATTCCTTCTTGTGAGCTTGGACCTGAAGGAAGCAATAATAAAAATCAAAATTGTAATTATCATAACTAAATTACCATTATCATTTTATGAGCTACACATATATAATATTAACTGTCTTACTCACGATGAGTCTTGATTTGAAATAGAAACAATTACCCCTACTTATTACACTAATCAATATAGAAAGTAAAAGATAAAAATACAAAGAATTTTACCATTTGAAACCTGAGAAGCATTGTTTGGAACCTTTTTTGTTAATCCAGCCTCTTGTCGAAGTCTAAATACAACTTGAAACAATTCATACAAAGTACCAGTGACACTCCCTGCCTGAGGAGAATGAATTATGAAACATAAGGAAAGTGATTGCAAATCATGACAAAGTTTCCATGAGGTGAAGTGAATTTTTGGAGATGTAAGATTTCAGTAAATACTTGTGAGCAACAATGAACATACAGTTTATGCAGAATTACCTGATCACACTTGTCATCTTTCACAAAAAAGACTTTTATCACATTGGATAAAATATTTGAAAATTGGGGGATATCACTTGACAAATATCACCAGTTGTGATACTTTTTCTCTCACACGATTGGTCTAAATGCATTAGACAATCACATACGCCCCAGCTAAAACTCTGGAATATTGGGGAATATTCCTCAAGTAATATTCTCCAATTTCAGACCTTACTTCTTATACGAGAAGAATCTTTATATATAAACTGCGGTGTTATACTAGATACAGTGCTATACTTGATACCTAACTTTTTCTCTGTGCTCACTTGTGAGTCATGAAGTTGAACACTACAGAAATTCCATATCTACAAGCACCTATTAATTATTCTCTGATTGTTTTAAAGTTAATTCAAGATGAACATAGTATACTTACAGGCTTTTCAGACTTAATAGCATAAAGTTTATGTCCAGTAGTACAGGGCTGACTACACACATATCCAAATACTTTCTTGTCTTCTGGGTCATGAGTGATAAATGATATCTTATTGATTGGATGTTCATGCTGCACTTTCTGCAAAAACATACCAAAATGATTTCAATTCTACAGACTAACATCATGTTTGTTACTCAGACAGAGTGAACATCCATAAACTTATCCCATGCCCTTAATGTTATTGTCTTGTTATCATCTTGTAGTTGACCTTAATGAATATTTATGCTTCAGACACCATATAATTTTTACCCCATCATTACCATAAATACTTAAAATTCCCAGATTTTAGATGGTAACATAACCATCTGAAAATTGTCCTCAAATATTGTTAAAAATTAACTTTAGAGACTGCCAATTTTAACTAGGTGACAGCCTGACGAGACTCATGACACTGTATTTGTCCCTGTAGCTAGACATAGACTTACCTGAGTCTTCTCATCCACTATCCTGATTCCTTTCAAAGAGGTATAGAATATTATTTTCTGCTTGTGCTCCCTGCTTTCTTTATTCAGCTTTAAGGCTTGTGCCTGGATTAGAAAATTTAAGTACAAAATAATGTTATCAAATGTTATGCAAACAAGCAACAAAAAAACCAACCATTACCAAGAGAAAGGTTTATAATAAATGTACTTGAAATACACAAAGAGAGGACCAACATTTTGGTGACAATTTTATTACCACAGTCTATACTAGAAAAAAGTTTTGCAGGATTTCCACAATACAAAAAAATGTCCCACAAGACTTACGACTGGGTGTTAAATGGGGTGCAAAAAATTGATATGATAGCTACAATACTTTTTTTAAACTTCATAGTATTTTAAACTTCTGTATCTGTTCTCTTTTTAGTTTACACACTAAAGTGACAATACAGGTACTGGTACATTCGAACCCTTGTTATGGTAACCCTTTTCTTGGAACCATCTCTTGGAAAAGGGTCCCTCAAAATTTAAGAAGGGGAGCCATTGGGCCTTCTCTAGCCAATTCCTCAAATAAACCATGATCAAGACAAAAACTTTAAGAAATACATAATAATGAACTATAAATTTTCGCTCCAAAGAAACCTTATAAAATTTGTCCAAACGGCCAAAAAACAAAAACAAAAAAAGAGTGAGAAAGGTTTATAAAACAAAATTGTGAAAAGTTACAAAGAAAGGACAAACATTTGATAGTATTTTTCTAAAGATGGAAACTGTGAGAAATAGACTACTTGCATTAAAATAACATAAAAGTTATAGTTACATCTAACCAAAAAAGAAACTATTTTCCAGATAATAAGAATGCACTGGCATCGTGATCACCATCTGAGTTTGGAGAACTTAATACCTTCTTAACAGAGTCTCTTAAACCAAACCTAACTAATCACCAATCAAAAAAACCTCTGATAAAATAGAACAAAGTAGCTTGTTAGAACTCAAACTGAGTGAAAAAAATAAATTATTGGGATAACCATGAATAAAAACTATGCATTGCCATGGGAGTTAAACCTGTTTTGGTGCCAAACTGCTTCACCCAACTTGGCTAGTTAGAACTCAAACTGAGTGAAAAAAATAAATTATTGGGATAACCATGACTAAAAACTATGCATTGCCATGGCAGTTAAACCTGTTTTGGTGCCAAACTGCTTCACCCAACTTGGCTGTTAACTTCCCACTAACAATTGTTCTAGTAAGTTGAAATTACAACTCAGATGGCAAATCACTAAAAAATAGCAGAAGTGTTTGGCCACAGTGGATGAACAAATGTATTTATTATTTTTCTTAGTTCTTCTCTAGAGTTGTAATCCAACAGCTACATCAGTCAATCAATGAACTCAAATTAATCCACCACTCACAGACTTGATTATAGTCACCATGGCACCACTTTCATTCAAAGCTGGGGATTTCCCCAAATGGAAGAATTTGGTACATTAGACAAAACCTAAAACCTTCTATTACACTTTTGTCAAAGATTATAAATGGTTAAGTGTTCAAAGATTGGAATGGGAAGCCCATGTAAAAAAAAAACAGTTGTTTTCTCAGAAATTGTTGTAATTATAAGTAAATTATATTAGGACTTCTTGTTGTCCAATTCACTCAGTAACCATATTTAAGATTAACAAATCAGAATCGAGTTTTGCTGTCATCCAGTTCTGTTAGTCACTTGTATGATTACAGACTGAATTTGATTCACCTATTACTATTGGCCCTGTTACCAATTCTTATTATTAATTAACAACTTGTGAGAGAAACAAGATTGTGATGAAAAGATTTTGTCTTTTCTTAATGACAGAAACTGTGAATATGCAAAAACACAAGTGAATAATGTTCACTTCAGATAGA